GAAAATAAAATATTTTGAAAATTCGATTTTTAGCCTTCGACCGTCGTATATTAAAAGTTTTATAATCCGACCATCTTTAGTCCAAACTGACTCAGATTTTCAGGAGATACTCAAAACAAGTCAAAGATACGAGATTCAGTCGAAGAAATGGTCTAAAAGTTTACTTACCTGCTGAGGTTTGAGAAGCTTTGAAAAAGGCGAGTTATGCAGGACCAGAAGGTCGATAGCGCTAATCCAAAATATGAAATCAGAATTTTGAAACCTTTCTTCATGGCAGAGAAAAGGGTACCTCAACTGCCTAAACCTGTCCTATTTACCTGGTCATGAAGGTATGGGCCTATCTCCATAAGAAAGAGTCCATTTGAGAAAAATAACATTTATAAATGTATAGTAGGATGCAAGCTACAAAGTCATCATATCAAAATACCACCTTTATGGGGTGGCAGATTTGAGGATAAAACGTGCGGGGTCTTTTACCTTGATCGTACAAGTCTATCACAAACTAGTTCAATAACTATACACATTACCATTCATCCCTAAAAGTGCGAAATGTCTGTCAGATTTTTTCATATCGGTTGTAGGTTTTTTGATTTTCATCGATTTCGTAATAGATCATCGAGAGAGGCGTTGCATCTTCACTGTTTTCATTATGCACTCAGAAAATACTTTTAAATTTTTCTTTTTACTTTTTTTAGCTTTCTTTAGAAAGGAAAAGAAGAACAACGGAGAATGAAAACGAGACAAATAAAACATCGGTAAGACTAAAAAAGTGTGTGCAATCAACCACATTTGCTTTGTCACACTCATTTTAAAAGAAAGAACAAACACTCTCATAACAAAATAATTTTCTCATCATCATTATAAAAACATAAGTTAGGCATAAATTAAAGGCAAAATGCACTTTTACAACATGTGTCACATTTTGACCCACAACTCTATTTGATAAGATAACTTTCAGTATTCTGTGTAAATTACGATTTTATTTGTTCATCTTTCTCTGTCTGAATATGGGAGTAGCAAATGGATTCTGATATACATACATGGCCTACGTACGTTAATGGAAAAAAAGAAAAACAAAACAACAACTATACGATGATTATACATATTAGAGCTGCGAAAAATCGGAGTTTTCTTTTCTATTTTGTTTTCTTATTTACGTTAACCTGAATAAGAAAACAAATATAGAAAACCCTGCTTTTCGCACGTCTATTATATTCTCAACGTATAAATATTCGATTGATGAATATGGGATGCTTCATAAGAGTGTAAAGGAAGGTAAGCTTTTTGTGACAGCATCTGATCTCCAACGAAAAAAGGTTTATGGCGTTATGAAGTAGAAATGCTTCTGCCAACGTTTTAAAATAACAACATTTGATGAATTGTCTTTGTGGCTCGCCTATACTTAGCTAGTCTAGCATCAGCAGACCACATCTGTTCTAATAATGAGTAATATCTTCTACGGTTTCAAGTGAATACACATCGGTGTAAAAATTACTTCACTCGTTAAATTCATTCAAAAAATCGAAACAGAGTAATCTTGCTTTTATCCTCGTCTCGGACGAACAGGAATCAATTTGCCGTCTAAACCGGATAAACATGTGGTGTTGTTAAAAACCCTCACCGTAATTCAGTTTGAAATCTATTATTTTGTTCAGAAAACGACAATCATAGATTTTTTCCTTTGAAAGCTGCACCATGACAAGCATAGTTATAAAACTCAATTTTTTCATAGGTTTATTTCACAGGTACCTGTTCTATCGATTGTTGAAAATTGCACAGTTCTACCAGTTTGCGTTAAAGCATTATTAAAAAATCGATATTTTTACCATGTGTTCTCTTTTTCTCTTTGTTTATTTGTCTGTTTTTCATTGATTACACATGTATAGAAGGCGTAGTCTATTTATTTATTCGAGTCCGGTAGCTATTATTATGTACATATATGTTGACCGACAACATTTTCTTTGTTATATGACATGATAGACTTTTCCATAGACTTCTTTTTTCGTCCAATTTGGATTAGGACTCTAGTTTGGTGATTGTCAACGAGCGTTAACAACACTGAGATAGTTAGAGCATTTTCATCCAGCTGTCATAGGTTATGACAGACAGTTCGCATCCACGTGTGTAGTATAATATAGCGTCGTAGAATGTTGGAGGCCACATTAAGATGCTTCAAATCCGAAAGGCAAACAAAACAATAGATATGCTTCAAACATACATAATTGGACAGAGCTCGTCGAGCTGATCCCGAATATCACATTTTTATCGAGTTTTAGGAGAGAAATCAGGAGAGAAATCTTTAAAATACCACAACGGTCACAAAAAGTGAGCATTATAGACAAAAATCAAGATTTGACAGTTTTCCGTTCACTATAGTTTTTCGAAACTATTTTATTCAGATTCAGCATCAAAAAATGAATATATCCGCTAGCTCATCGTGCTGATGTCTACGATCAGGACGGACTAATTTCGTCCAGGGACATTTGAACATCCTGTTCTCCCAAACCTATGTAGTCTTTTGCTTCAAGAGCTATCCCCAACTACCACACATCATTCGAATCACCATCCAACAGTGAACAAAAGTATGCATGGATTTAAGAAACTATCATCATTAGTGTAGCAACAGACAAAAAAGTCGGAATTCTGCCTGTACTTTGCAATTTTCTCCATCAGAACACAATTTTTAAAGCAATAAAAATAACATATTCAGAGTCAGCGTCGAAAACTGAGTCGAATGATATATGTTTTGAAAGTTTTTGTTGATTTTCATTTTGCCGTGAAAATCTCAGTAATTTTTCGACGTGAAAATTCGAAAAAAACAAAACAAAGGTGATCAGGTAGAATAAAAAGATAGAAGAAGGATAGCTCTTGAAACAAAAGACTACATAGGTTTGGGAGAACAGGATCTCAAAATGTCCCTGGACGAACTTAGTCCGTCCTGATCGTAGATATCAGAATGATGAACTAGTGTCAAACCTACATGGGCATACTCACTTTTTGATGCTGAATCTGAATAAAATAGTTTCAAAAAACTATAGTGAACGAAAAAAGGTCAAATCTTGATTTTTGTCTATAATGCTCACTTTTTGTGACCGTTGTGGTATTTTAAAGATTTCTCTCCTGATTTCTCTCCTAAAACTCGATAAAAATGTGATATTCGGGATCAGCTCGACGAGCTCTGTCCAATTATGTATGTTTGAAGCATATCTATTTTTTTGCTTACCTTTCGAATTTGGAGCTCGTTTTCCTGGTGGTAGTAACATGACGAAATGAAGAACTCCAACAAGACAAAATATAGAGACAAATAATCGTTCTTTTTTTTCTTCCTACATAATTTAGCTTAGATTAGAAGATCCATTCGTTTTTTGCTGTTCTTTTTTTCAGATATTCATTTTAGGTAAGAAAAATGTCTGGGCAAACAACTTTCCGTCAGCTTATTGGCGTACCATCACACACTAGTATATCGCCATCTGATTCCGTCCTGCTTATTATCGATGCTCAAAATGAATATGCTGAAGGTAAACTTAAAGTCAAAAATGTTGATACAAGTCGTGCTGTAATTGCCGATCTATTGAAAAAATATCGTACTGCAAAATCGGATATTATTCATATTGTTCATGATACACCTGATGGCGCACCGGTCTTTACACCTGGTACATCATTACCAGAAATATTTGCAGAACTAACTCCGCAAGCCAATGAGGAAGTTATTCATAAAAAATTTCCATCGTCATTTACTGGTACGAATTTGCAAACGTCATTGGAAAAGATCGGTAAAAAACAAATTGCACTCTGTGGATATATGGCTCATGTTTGTGTAACGGGAACGGCACGTTCAGGAATGGAACATGGTTATGATGTTGTTGTGGTAAAAGACGCAGTTGGCGATCGAGATATTCCAGGTGCAAAAGGCGAAGAGCTAGTTAATATTGTAATGACGGAACTGAATGATGCGATTGCAACAATAGTGGAGAATAAAGATGTTAAATGAACTATAACATCCGTATTAACGTGACTTTGCAGTGACTTTTTTTCTGACTAACTTTTAATAGCTTATCAAATAAAATCATGGCAAAAGAATGAGTATATAGACATTTTGAAATGAAGGTTAGAGGCTGCAGGTGATTTTTCGAAGAGACGATCGGTTGTCAGAGAGAAAAACATTACTATAATAGCCAACCAAGGGTCAATTTTCTTACATTCAATATCTGATGAAAGAACAGAATATTTTCTTCGAACTGATTTGAAGTGAAGCAAAGAAAAATAAGAAATGAAATTAGCACACATTTCATTTTGTTTTATGTGTTAATAGTACTATTATAGATTTTCAAATGGTTAAAAAATGAGTCGAGATTTGCCGTTATTATTTTCATTACATCTCAAAGTTGTCGATTTTTGTGGCTAAAGACGTATGATTGATAAATTTACAGATCAATTTCAAAACCATTCATGTATCATACTTTCATTTGGTTCGAGCGAAAAATTGCAAAGCATTTTAGATTCGTTTAACGCCAGCGCTTTCAACAGCCTTAATATAACTAGTTTTGTAACTAATTTCGAAAAAACCTACGTCTCACTATGAATTTTAGAATCACCATTACTCATTTTAACGTTTGACTTTTATGTCGGAGCCTATTTTGTAACTTCGTGTACACATTAAATTTGGACTAAATGTTATCCAGGATCAGTGGGAAGTAGAGCTCTGCGGGATCGGGATAGGAGGACAAATATTTACGGAATCAGGATCGGGACCGGGATCAAGTTTACGGGACGGGATCGGGATAGAGGTCAAGTTTACGAACAGGTTCGGGATCGGGATTTAAGCTGCTGAACGGGATCGGGATTTTCTTTTTCCAATTTATTGGCACTATGTTCTTTATCACAAAAATAAAGTAAACAAACAAAATATCAGTTTGCCTGCGTATATATCGTTGTACAACATAAATAAAAACGATGTCTCTTTAAAAGCCTACATGTCAGTGTGAAAATCAAAAAGAAAATGTATATTCAACAGCCTAAACACTGATGTAGAGAGAGAAAGACAGAAAACCTAATTTTCTTTTCAATTCAATCGTCGTCTAATCGATCATGCTGAGTCTCGCGGCAATATTTATTTTCAGAAAAAGTTCAAAAAGTCTACCGAAGAGCGAGTTTTACGAAAATTTGGGTTTTCAGGCTGTTTTCACCTATTACAAAAGTCACAATTCATTCAATAAGCATCAGAACGGGTTAAAGACTTCAGAATATAAAGTATTTAAGCTATTCTATCTCCTATTTATAGGCAATCTTAAAAGAAAGTCTACAAAACCCTAAGGTTTTCCAAAAGCATTTCTGGAAAACCCTACAATCCTATTGAAAACGTTTACACACGGCCTGGTTTTCCAAAGATCTCTTCGCTGTTTCTCTTTGGTTTTCAATAAAAGCTGTTTTTCTCAGCGAGGACAAGGAATTTAAAAAAAAGCTCTCCGTACTTTTCAAGCTGGTCTCTTGGCCGATCTAATGGTGTATGAATCAAACGTATAGCTCTTCACCCAAAAAACTAGATAGGTTTACAAGATGAGTCACACCTCACTGGACACCCGTCGGTTTAGACATCCATGGGGGACAGTGTTTACCTTTGAAATGAACTGAAAACTTTTTTCCAAATCACTTTTCAACGCTGATTCAGAAAAAATTAGTTTGAATCTTCCATCCTGCAATAAAACTTCAAAAAGTCAGTTCTCACGATAAAGATCATTTTTTTCGATTTTTTAGACCCTCTCGGCATTTCGAGTTTTTCTCCATGAAAAAAACGTTTTACAAGGCTAAAAAGGTGATATTCGTGATCAGCTCGACAAAACGAATCAGAATGTGTGTGAAAAATCGAAAAATAAAACCCACTTGAATTTTGCATTGGCTGCACCTTACGTTCGTCCATCATGTAACCATTTTTTTCCATCCTCCTGGCATCGGAAAAATCTTTTTGCTACAAAGGATGTTTATATTGGTAAGTAGTATTTATAAAGCCAGTTTCAACTTTTTTTCATCTTTTGAAATGGCAAAGTTATGGCAAAAGCGATTTTGTTGGAAAGTGTTTCAAGGCCTCGCCAGGGACTCCACGCGATCATTCTGAATGGTTTCTAAGATAATTTTTGTGATCACCGTGATCAGTTTCTACTAGTTCTGAAAGTGCCATACGACAGAGGTGGGCGAGTATACGGATTTCTGAGTAAGAGTATTTTCTGAAAAGTACTCGAGTAGTACTCGAGTACTTTTTTTCTAAAGAAGCCGATGAATCCGAAAAAATTTCTGAATAAATCGATTTTTTTATACGCAAATAGTAAAAAAACAGGTCATCAGTTTTTTGGGAAGTACTCGAGTATTTTTGAGAATACTCGTTAAAAAGGCTTACCCGAATTTCGCCAATATGACTTTCGCCACCTGGACATTCGCCAATGCACCTTCATGACTTTCGCCAATTGGTGCGATTCCACTGTATTTTCGCCAGTATACCCCTGGAACTTCGTCAATTGGCGAGAGTCCACCGTACTTTGCACCCTCATGACTTTCGCCAGCTTGAGTGTAACTTATATTTGGATTAGAGATATTTGTATCGATGTTAGATAGTGTCATGTAACATTACAAAATAAATCGATAAACTGATGCACTTATTGGAATCAAAAACAAGATCCTTATCGGATACAATTGCATCTCTTGCTCATCTTGTCGGCGAACCTATTGGTCGTGGACGAAAAGGAAAAAAACGCAAGCATAATGTTTCTAAGTCAGATGTATCAGACTCACCCTCAGGTTCAGCATCAAATCAAGATTAAGTTCTTCTTCATCTCTTTCTTACTCATTAGTCTCGCTTTTTTTACTAAAAATGTGACTTGGTCATATTCGAACAGATCCTATTTCAAGGCAACAAGATATATTCTAACACCTTAAGTCCTCACGTATACCTTGCATTGATATTCTTTCATGATAATTAGCGAAAGTCCACTGTACTTTCGCCAATGCACCTTCATGACTTTCGCCAATTGGCGAATGTCCAGTTGGCGAAATTCGGAAACCCCATTAAAAAAGCTCCCGAGTACGAGTATTAGGAATCTTGTACTCGAGTACACTCATATACACGGAGGTATTTCAGCAGATTTTTTCGTTTCCGGAAATTAAAGGAAATCTATAAAATGCTACGATTAAGTTTTGCTGCTAAAAGACAGATTTTCTTACTCTAGTGTAAAACGAAGGTGAATTGACTATAAATTACTGATTGACTATAAAAGGACGTCTGATTCTATGTAATAGTTGTCGCTTACGAAGACATACGGATACAGCTGAACAGAAAGGAGAAGGTATTGACATTCAGATAAAAACTGAACATAATCTAACTGCGGATTGGACAATTTCATTATATACATTGAAATCAATTTTATCTTAATCAATATCAACAATTGATGAACTCAATCAGAACGAAGAATAAATCGACCAATTGATGAGCACCAATTATAAGCTGACATAGAGACCAGGTGTGGAAATGGTCACAAACATTTCAGAAGGAGAATGACAAACAGCACATGGATAACTAACGTTCAATAAAACAGAAATGAAAGAAATAAAGACGTATGATAAGACTTGATCAATACGAATGAACACGTACACAATCTTTTGTAAATATGCAAGCTAAAGATACCAATAAATAATCAATAAAGGCTCCCAGGCAAACTTTTTCTACGAAAAAAACGCGTTAGAGCGCGTTTAAATTTCCATACAAACTAACGCGTTTAGCAGGATGTTTTTTATCACATTCCGGACGTTCAAACGCGTTTCACAGCGTCGATAAGCAGCTCATTAGAGCGTGTTATATTTTAACGCGTTTGAACGTCCGTAATGTGACAAAAAACGTCCTGCTAAACGCGTTGGTATGTAACACGTTTCTGTAGGTTAGGTTTAGACGTGGTAGAAGGCATTACCGGACAGCGCGTTTCGCAGGCCTTTTTTTGTCACATTTCAGACGTCCAAACGCGTTACTAATCAACGCGTTTCACAACGTCGGTAAGCAGCGCGTTATATTTTAACACGTTTGAACGTCCGAAATGTGACAAAAAACGTCCTGCTAAACGCGTTGTTATGTAACGCGTTAAAGCGTGTTAAAAAGGAACGCAACACGACTCGTTAAAACCTGATGCGTTAAAACGGGTTAGAAAATTGAAATTTAAAAAACATTAATTTCTTGGATGCCGGTTAGACCTGCAGCCAGAAAGACAGTCTCCAAGCTCTTTCGCGACAAGTTTTGACAAGGAGAGAGAGAAAGAAACTAAAGTTACTTACTTGACTTATGACGGGATCGAACGTGGGTACCTAGAATTAAGAAGCAAACACACTAGCCGCCTGAGCTACAGACGATCGAAAGACTAAATGTACCACTAGCATGTCTTTCGAGCATCTTATCCTCTTGTTTGTTTCTTTATTCTAGTACTAATGTTTCTTTAACATCTGAGCAAAAGGTACTTAACAACAACAACAACCCTTTTGCTGACCTTTGACGTCGCCACAGAGAAATGAAAAGGCAAAAGAATTACATCCTCATTTCGAAAAAAATGGCGTAGGCAGAAAAAAGAACAGAAGCTTAAGCGAAAGAGAAATTTAGTTGGACTTCTTTTTAGAGGTGCAACCAGTACCGGTATGCATTATAACGCCGACCGGTATGCCGGCATTAGTATGAAGTATAATCAGTCGGTCGATATTGCCGGTATTTTGCGGTAAAATACGACTTTTTGAAAAACATCATGTGAATTCAGTTCATCTGTGACATATTTCTTCCATTAAAATTTCATTCCAATTACTTAAACTTTGTCGGCTTATAGAAACTTCCTAATTTAAAACATTGAATTGGATTGGTGTTTTGGTTAAAAAAGCGTGTGAAAAATCAGCTATACATAGTCAAAGTGAAAAGATTAAGCGATGCCTTTGATAACATAAGTAATCGATCAAAAGAAGAATAATCGGTTTTTTTCGCCGAATATTAACAGACTTCATCACATGTATGAAACATGATCATAACCTCATTGGTATCCTCTCGATTCGTTCCTAATTGGCTTTGTAAGATTAAACAACATCAAATATGATATCAAAAGTGACAGTGAGCAATTATTGACGAATCGAGATTAAACTACTTCATTTTAAAAAAAGTAGACACTGATAAGTTGTCATCTACATCCAGAGAAGCCGGTACCGGTCGGTATCAGTATTGCATTTTTGATACCGGTTACGCCTCTGCTTCTTTTGTCTCTCTGCTGCCTTTCTTTTAATTGTCAGCATTTGCACTCGCGAAATTTTTGTGAGTCGGATTATTCTTAAGGAGTTTAAGCTTGCAACTGCCTTTTTTACAACCAACCTTCTCTCTTTGATTTTATCAGTTGGCGATACTTGTTGTACAAAATTCTAGTATTTTTTAGACAATTCAGTTTTTTAAGTAGAAAGTTACTATCCGCAGCTGGCCAGTATTTTTGGAACTAAATTGATTTATTTTTAGATGCACCCAGGTCGAAGCTCTGATAATAAAAAAAAATTACATGTCGGATTAAGAAATGAACACGAAGTAAATATGCTGATTGGTCAAACGACATAGCACTCTGTTCATTATCATTGTTAAAGATTATCACATCTTGTTCTTCGTAAAGGATGAACAAGAAAAACTTTTGTGTTTTTTGCTGAACTTTGTTATCATTTTTGGGTTTTTCGCTTCTTTCCTTCTGTGTTTTCGCTCTGATTTAGATGAAAAAGAGCGGTAGAAGACAACATGATTGTTTCTTTAGCTTCGTTTACAAACTGAGCGCAATTATATTGATTTTCATTGTTTGCTTTCTTGTTTCTATTCTCTACTATAATTAATCCATTTTTGATTATTTTCATGAAAAATTAAAAAATTCATAACTCAGTCAAAATCCGTCCAACCTACTTTAGAATGTCGTTATACACTCCATTTAATCCGCTCATGCTGATTTTGTAATTAAAATCATTAAAAAGATATTCTCTTGGTTCCGAAGGTTTTGCGAATACTTTCTAAAAAGTAAAGTATTTTGTGTCGGTTTTTACAGCATCTATTGAGCTTTACGGTATGCTGCAGATAAAACAGAGTATATCCTGACATTCTGAAGGAGGTTGGATGGGATTTTGACTGACTTATGAATTTTTTGATTTTTCGTGAAAATAATCAAAAATGGGTTATTTCACCTAGTATCGGTTTCACTCGGTTCTTGCATTTTGTTCTGAAAACTAACATACCACGAGATTCAACACAGTCGATAACCTATGTTTTCATTCATTTCTGACAGTCACAAACCAAACGGTAAAGAAGTACTAAGGCTTCAGGAAAAATGCCCATAGCTCGCAAACCATGGGTTTTCAAGATGTCGCTTGAATCCAGTTTTGTCGAAGACACTTCGAACTATATATCTAATAAAAAATCGACCTATTTCTATGTCAGTTTCCATAGCTCCAAGCTGGTTTTCCAACGATCGTCTAAGAGACCGGCTTCGAAACAATTTCCTAATATCGATTTTGCTTATAAAATCTAATGTCTAATTTCTAAAACTGAAAATTGTAGATTTCTATCATTCTTCTATCAAAAGTTATTGAAAAAGCAACCAACGGCACTTTTTTTGGATCGATAATAGATGTCAACGAACAGATTTCGTCGTAATTCGAGCTCGTCGAACTCGTCTACATCGTCAAAAACGAGGCCTACTCACTGTCTTATCGAGACAAATGATAAAGACAAAAAAGTTACAATAGCTGTTATTCTATTGTCTGCAATAACAAATCCTGATGGGAGAAAATTAAAAGTTGGGAAAACATGCACATTATTAAAAGCACCACGTAACACACCACGTTCAACTATCAAATTTATTGGAGAAGAAGATGAATGTGAGAATCATCGAGAATTGTTACTATTAACAGATGGTGAGATTTTTTA